ATTTTCCATGTATTGACATAACTTTTTGAGCATATGGCATACAGTTATGATAACTGATGTTGTTCCTTATCTGCTAGTTCAACATCTATGTCATTCCTTGGTCAGTTTTCATTAATTGATTATTTTCTTTGTTATGGGTTCAGTTTTCTTGCTTCTTTGTGTGTCTTATAATCTTTGTTTGGATGCCAGTCATTATGAGTTTTACCTTATTGAGTTTTACCAAAAATGCTGGGTGTTTTTGGATTCTTATAAATTTTTTTGTCTTTGTTTTGGAATGAAGTTAAGTTATTTGGAAATATCTTAATACTTTTGAGTTATACTTTTATGATTTGTTAAGCTAGTTTATGCCCTGTCTAGGGCTCTTTGTTCTCTACTCCTAAAGCAATATCCCCTGAATTTTCTACCCAATGCCTCATGAATTATGAGTTTTTCCAATCTGGCACTTGATTTTTCTAACCAAGCACTATTCCTGGTCACAGACATGCACTCATCAGTACTCTGCAAAGTGCAGAAGGGAGACCTGCTGCAAATCTCTGGAGTTCTGTCTTTGGGCACTTTTCTCCTCCTCACTAACTACTCTTATCTATAAACTAGCTGCTTTGGTCTCAACAGATTCTTAACTCTATCTTCTCAGCTTAGGAAGTTAGCTGAGCTCTGCCTGGGTTTCTCTTCCTTGTGCCTCAACCTGGACATTCTTTCAAGGTAGTAAGAAGGGGCAGTTATAGGCTTCACATTGTTTATTTTCTGTCTCTTAGGCATCACTATACTTTGTGGCCTGATGTGTAGGCTTGAAAACTCAAATATGTTTTCTGGTTTTTCTTGGTTTCTTCTTTCAAGTTTCAAGGAACAGCATAAATCCAATCCCTGTTATTCATTCCATCTTTGCCAGAAGCAGAAGTCTCAGGTCCTTTACATCTTCTGTTCCTCTATGTGGAATGCCCTACCGTAGATATCTGTGTCATCAATGCTGTCACTTCCTCTTTCTGTTTAGCAGTTTTGTATTGGATGCTGGACATTATAAATGTTCTGTTGCCATATCTCTGGATTTTTTTGTCTTCCTTCAAAGGAGTGATGCCCTGACAGCTCTTTCTGCCCATAGGTCCTATCCCTGTGTTTTAATAAAACCACTTTTTTTGTACCCCCCCCCCCAAAAAATAGAAGTGATGTCTTTTATTTTGGCATTTACGTTATCTGTGGATCAGCTTAATCCTTTTGAGGATTAAGAGAGCCTCTTAACATGGGGCTCAATCCCATGAATTGTGAGATCATGACCTGAGCCAAAATCAAGAGTCTGATGCCCAACCAACTGAGCCACCCAAACACCCCCCTTTTGCGGCTGTTTTAAGCTTTGACAGGATAGGTATAGTAGTTTTTACTCTAGGACTATATTAGCCTTGCTACATAAGACATGACTCTTTTGAATACAACAGGTGTTCAACAAAGTCTCTTCACTCTGAAAATTAAAATGTCTCCCAGGCCTGAGTGAGTTCTGGGAATTGGTCAATTGATAGCTCCTAGTAGTTGTTCTTTGCCCAGCCTCATGGATTCAAACACTACTCGTGTGAGCCTGGTATTCAGGCAGACTCAAGATGACCCTTGGTAATTTTCTAGAGCTTTTTCTTTGCATGGTTTCTTCTGCACCATACTCTGCCCTGAAAATTATAGTTTCTTCACCCTCCTCAAATTCTAATCTCTGTCTCCTCAATTCAGACTACTATTCCTGCTTCCTGTGTCACAGCACAGAAAGTTCTCCTACTTTAAAGCTAGAGAATTCATAGGAATCACCATTCTCTTGGGCATCACAGTCCTTCACTCCTTATTTCTGAAAACAGTTGTCTCATTTATTTCTTCTAGTTTCTCAGCGGAGGACAAATCTAATACCACTTACTCCATTATGGCCAGAAGCAGACATAATCAGAATGATATAATCAGAGTGATATAATATACAAAGTGATTTAATACACAAGTTAGGTCATGTGACTCCTCTGATCAAAACTGTTCATTGGCTCCTCATTTCATTCAGAGAAGAAACCAAATTCTTACTGTGGCCTACAAGACCATGATCCGGCCCCCCTGTTACCTTTCTTTCCTCGTATTCTACTACTTCTCCCCGAGCTTATTCCAGTCGACACATACTGAGTTTCTTGTTATTTCTGGAATCACCAAGCTTGCTTCCACCCCAAGTCCTCTTGGTTTCCTCTGCTTGGTCAATTCTTTCCATGGACAACCATGAATAGCCATGTGGCTAATAACTCCCTGACTTTTCTCCAGCTCGTCAACTTTTTAATATTAAAAATTGCTACCGCCTCCCCACCATCTCTCCTTTATCCCCATTTTCCTTACACTGCTCTGATTTTTCTTTCTTCTCTTAGCATTTATCCTTCCCTGATATACAGTTGTTTCTTACTTATTTATCATGTTCATTGTTTAATGGCTGCCTTCCCCCTTTAGAACTCAAGCTCCACAAGGGCAGAGATCATTGTCTATTTTGTTTCCTATACATAGTATGCACTCATGACATAATTTTTTATACTTTGTTAGATGTTTCATAAATTGAGCATTAAAAATATAGATATCAGTATGCTTCTTCTCAAAAAGTTTCTCAAGAGGTAAAAAATTCCAGTTTTAAAATTAATAAACCACAGAGATGAAGAGTACAGTGTGGGGAATATAGTCAATAATACTGTAATAACATTGTATGGTGACCACACTTACTGTGGTAAGCATTGGGTAACGTGTAGAACTGTTGAATCACTATGTTGTACACCTGAAAGTAATACAACACTGTATGTCAATTGTGCTTCGAAAATAAATAAAAAGTAAAATAAAATATTTTTTTAATTTCCTTAAGCTTAAAGATTATAATCAGCAGAACTAAATTTTCCTGCCTTCATTGGTTATTATTGCCCATCATTAATTGAGTTGTTATCTTCATGATTAAAATTTCTAAGCCTTATATTTCTTTTTTTATTAGGCTTTTTAATTTTAATTCCATATAGTTAATATACAATGTTATAGTAGTTTCAGGTGTACAATAGTGATTCAACAATTCTGTACATTACTCTGTGCTCATCATAAGTATACTGTTATTTGCTTTATATTTCTAACAGACTTTACTGTAGTCAGAATTTTCACATTCTGGTATCAAGATATAAAATCTTCCCAGAATCAACCGTAATTTTATTTTATAGTAAAATATATATATAGTAAATATATATATACTATATATATAAGTATATATATAGTAAAATATATATATAGTAAATATAGTAAAAATATATATATAGTAAAAAAAAAATAATGTGTTAATTTTTTTTTTTTGCCTCCCATGGCAAAATACTTGCAATACATTATAGATGTCTCAGATACATTTTAATAGAAATAGCCTAACTTAGGCAAAACTGGAAATGTTTTGGCCCTCAGAATTCCAAAAAAGACTTAAATACTAAAACATGAGGATGCAAACTAGTGTAGACATGGTGGAAAACAGTATGGAGATTCCTCAAAAAATGAAAAATAGAACTACCATATGATCCAGAATTCCTCTACTGACTATTTACCCAAATTATATTAAAACACTAATTTGAAAAGATTCATGCACCTGTATATTTATTGTAGCACTATTTACAGTAGCCAAATTATGGAAGCAGCCCAAGTGTCCATCAATAGATTGATAAGGAAGATACGGTATATAATGAAATATTACTCAACCATTAAAAGTAACAAAATTTTGCCATTTGCAACAACATGGATGGATCTAGAGAATATAATCCTAAGTGAAATAAGTCAGTCAGAGAAAGACAAATACCATGTGATTTCACTCTATGTGGTATTTAAGAAGCACAAAGAAAAAAAGAGACAAATTAAAAACAGATTCTTAAGTACAGAGAACAAATTGATGGTTATTAGAGTGAAGGTGGGTAAGGGGATGGGTGAAATAGGTGAAGGGGATTAAGAATACATGGGGCACCTGGATGGTTCAGTTGGTTGAGCATCCGACTCTTGGTTCTGGCTCAGGTCATAATCTCGCAATCATGGGATCGAGCTCTGCATCAGGCTCCATGTTGAGCGTGGAGCTTGCTTGAATCTCTCTCTCCCTATCTCTCTCTGCCCTTCCCCCACTTGCTCTCTCACTCTCTGCCTCTCTCTCAAAATAAATAAACTTTAAAAAATATATTTTAGGGGCGCCTGGGTGGCTCAGTCGGTTAAGCGTCCGACTTCAGCTCAGGTCACGATCTTGTGATCCGTGAGTTCGAGCCCCACGTCAGGCTCTGGGCTGATGGCTCAGAGCCTGGAGCCTGTTTCAGATTCTGTGTCTCCCTCTCTCTGTCCCTCCCCCGTTCATGCTCTGTCTCTCTCTGTCTCAAAAATAAACGTTAAAAAAAATTTTTTTAAATATATATATATATATTTTTAAAAAATGCACTTATCATGATGAGCAATGAGTAATATATAGAATTGTTGAATCACTATATTGTACCTGTGAAAATAATGTAACACCGTATGTTAACTATTCTGGAATTAGAAAGATTTCAAGTTCAATAAAATTTCATTTTGTTTTTCACTTTAAAGCTATCCTAATTTTCTAAACATACTCTGAATAAACTTGAAGACATGTTATTAAAAAGGAAAAAAAAAAAAGAACTTGCATATCCCAAAGTAGCCATGCAAATAGGAATCAATTTCCAGGAGGAGAGGAGAGGGACAATACAGAGCAGACAGTTCTGTGTTGTATACTGTATGTTAAAATATACAATTCAGCTAAATTAGATTGCAGAATAGTTCCAAAACCAGCAGTGTTGTATATTAGCATATATATATTATATATATATTATATAATATATGTATATTATATATACAATACATATATATATAATATATATATTTAAAACATAGTTGAGAAACCATAGTTTTTGTAAAACCTTAAATAAATCATTTATTTATTAATGTGGTAATTTAAGTTCTTACAATGAGTTTATTGAAATGTGCTTTTTGTTTAGGGTTTGAACTACAGTTCCGACTAGGCCCCACTTTACAGGGAAAAGCAGTTACTGTATTTACAAATTACCCATCTCCTGGAGAACCGTTTAATCGAGAAAAATTCCGTTCCCTGGAATGGGAAAATCCAACAGAAAGAGAAGATGATTCTGATAAATACTGTAAACTTAATCTTCAGCAAGCTGGATCATTTCAGTATTACTTCCTTCAAGGGTAAGTCAGGTGTCCTATATGTTGGGGGGAGAAAAAGTTAATTCATTCTATCTAGTTAAATTATCTAGCTTATAAAAAAAAGTTACTATATAAACCATGGACTGCAATTTTTTACAGGATTTTTTGAGATGCAAATAGAATATGGTTCTTCAGTTCCTAGGAAGCAATTGTAAGACTCATTGCAGATTCAATTTTTTTTTTTTTAAGTAACCACTTGAATAGTCTTTTCATATAACTTCATTATAAGATGCTGTTTGCTTGAGTGCCCTTGTTATTACTGATAGGTATGCTTATTTTTCCTTAATGCAACATTACTAGATATTATACATACTATGTCATTATGTAGAGATTGGAAAAAGGATAAAATAAGGCTTTTCCATTGAGTTTCATTGCAACTTTTTAAATGATTTTATGTGCTTAGAAATATATTTTAAAAAATTTTTTTAATGTTTTATTTATTTTTAAGATAGAGAGAGACAGAGTATGAGTGGGGATGGGGCAAAGAGGGAGACACAGAATCTGAAGCAGGCTCCAGGCTCTGAGCTGTCAGCACAGAGCCAACGCGGGGCTCAAACTCACGAACTGTGAGATCATGACCTGAGCCGAAGTTGGCCGCTTAACCAACTGAGCCACCCAGGTGCCTCTAGAAACACATATTAAAATGGGACAATTCACCTTCCCATTAGAGAGTCAGACTATATTAGATGAGGATTTTTTTTCCTATCATTAATTGAGAAGTTCTTGTTTTGTTTTTTCCTTAGAAATGAAAAAAGTGGTGGGGGTTACATAGTTGTGGATCCTATTTTACATGTTGGTGCTGACAATCACGTGTTACCCTTGGACTGTGTTACTCTTCAGACATTTTTAGCTAAGTGTATGGGACCCTTTGATGAATGGGAAAGCAGACTTAGGGTTGCAAAAGAATCAGGTAATGTCAGCTATCTTTCCTTTCTTTCTTAAAATAAATGTAGTTATCCTCTGTGATATAGATTTCAAGAGCTTTGATTCTCCTTTTAATTTTGTTTCTTAGTATATTTAGTAATAGAAATAGATAGAATCATATAAAGTTGTTAAGACTTAACCATTTTTAACCTGCAAAAATAGCAAATTATATGGTTCAACTTAGAAAATTAAGGAACTCTAATAATAAAATGAGATCATTATTGTATCTAAGACTTTACTTTGACATAGAAAAATTAGTAGTAAACTATTAAAATGTTTTAGAACATGTATTATCATTGTATATAATTTTAATTCAACATTGATTAACTGTCTTCCATGTGGAAGGTGTGTGCTGCCATATATACTGAAGGGTAATATTTTTTACTTTCAAACTGAATATAATATGAAGAAAGAGATGAGAAACTTATTGACATAACTGAAACAGAACACCAGACAGTGGAACATTAAAAGTAGGAGCAAGACATACTGATATACTTGTATTTCTCTACATGTAAATATATCCATCCAACAAATATAAATTGAACCCTTAATAGTAACTAGGCACTGTGTACGATTTTTTCAAGTGCATTATTTCACTATCTCTGTCTTATATATGAGGACCCTGATATCCTGAAAGATTTAAGTAGACTTGCTTGAAGTCACTTATGGTATAGCTAAGATTTGAACCCTAGTCTTTGATTCCTTTTCTAAGTTACATGGTTGCCTTGCTATTTGAAACTACTTAAGGGAAGTCTAAACTTCTATTTTGCTTAGTTTTAGTTTGTTTGTTTGTTTGTTTTCTTACAGTGGTCTTTGTTTATTTTCTTGCATTGCAGGTTACAACATGATTCATTTTACCCCTTTACAGACTCTTGGACTATCTAGGTCATGCTACTCCCTAGCTAACCAGTTAGAATTCAGTCCTGACTTTTCAAGACCTAATAAAAAGTATACCTGGAATGATGTTGGACAGCTAGTGGAAAAATTGAAAAAGGAATGGAACATTCTTTGTATTACTGACGTTGTCTACAACCATACTGGTATGAGCTTAATTAACTACCTGCATTAATTTTGATGAGAATATTCTATTCTGATTATTTTACTTCTTGCTGTTTTATGTAACATAAAATTTGAAAACAATGATATATAGGTGTCCTTCAATTTAAAAATCACTTTATATAGTACCACTTTTTTTCTTTCAGAGAAAGTAAGTGTTAGTTGAAGGTATATCAATACATAGTTATTTTGCATGTGATGATTATAAAAACAGGAGAGTGATCATAGAAGGGACATTTGATCACATATTTCAACTTTCATTATTAATACTTTGCAGACCAACTTGTGAATCCCATACAGCAGCAACTCTGGTACTATAGTATATATTTGAAAAGCTGAATGACTATTTAAGGAGAAAATTATTGGTAAACTCTTAGAAGTTAAATCTAAAAATTATACCTTTTACATGTTAAAAGGGCTTATTAAAGTTAATCTGTTTGGATCTCAAGATTCTTTACCAGTATACAATTCCATAAAATGTATCAGAACTTCCCAACTGGCGATCCTCAGGGAGATGATTCCTCCTGTCACCTGTCAGACAGCTGGGCCTGGAGAAGCCACTGACCATGATCAGCTTTCAATTTAACGCACTGTACCTTGCAAACATTATCTTCTCTGTGTGCCACAGTGAAAACTTCCTAATAGCTTAGAAATCAGTATTCTTCACTTGAAAATTTGACATTGATAATTGCTTTAACATCTATAATATTATTCACATCAAGTTTATCAAAGTACATAATGACATTATATGAGTTTAGGATATGGCATATGCAGCTGTAACAGAGACAAAAATATAGTGACTTAACTCTGAAACTGTATTTATTTCCTATAAAAGATTAGATAGACATCCCAAGACTGCTGTGGTAGCTCAGTGGTGTTGGGGAACTAGGTTCTTTCTCTCATGCTGCTCTCTCTCCAATAGTTTGCTTCCAACTCTTAATCAAATATGGCTGCTCCAGTTCCCAGTATCACCTCTACCTAGTGGAAATGAGGAAGGGAAGTCATGACTTTTAAGGGCATGGTCTGGTGTGTGTGTGTGTATGTGATATAAGATATATATCTATAATTCCACAATAAATATATGTGATATATATGTGTATATATATATTTTTTTCTCATATTTTATCAGACAGGATTCTGTCTCTTGTCACACCTTGCAATGTAGTCTGTTAGCCATGTGTTCAGCTGAACCTTGGGAATTCTGTTACTAAAGGAACAAAGGGAGAAAAAAATTGGAGTATAGTAACAGTCTCTATTAGAGACTATTTCTGAAGCATTTGAGAGATTCTTTGCAACATAAAGAAGTAAACTTTGCTTCAGCCTTAAATTGGAAAGTGTTGCAAATTATAATGTGCTTTTTGTGAAATTGGTTTTCATTAAAAAATTACTGTCCAGGGGAGTCGACTTCCAGAGATTGGCAGTGTAAGGGCTTTAGAGTTCTGTACCCAGCAAAACAACTGGTAAAAATTATTTTTTAAAAGAACTGTTTAAAGTCTTTGAAAATTGTTCTAAGGGAATTCAGCATATGGAAAAGCATTTATGCAAGAAAATCTCCTAAATCTCAATAAAAGCAGTGATAATCTGTGACATTTGAACCAGGACCTGCTTCTCCCTGCCCCAGTTCAGAATGATGATAGATCTACTCCTGGCATGTGCAGGTGGGAACACAAGGTTCCTTTTCTCTCCAGCTCCCAGTTAAATGTGCAGGCTTCCAACATTTCTTATGTCCCTCCCAACTGTAGCACTCTGTTGTAGAAATTCTGTTGTGAGCAAGAGCACCTGAGATGTCTGGGGCTCCCTTCCTTCATCCAACCCCTACTCATGGAGGGAAAGCTCTACCCCGTGCATGGCAGAGCAAGAATACTGGGCCCTAGTTGCCCTTGTCCCAGTTTGCTTGTACAGTGGAGCTTCCACACCTAGAGAGGTAAGCCAAAAAAACCAGCTGTGGAGCAGTGACACAGGTATTCTGCCCAGGGGAAGAGATGTGCAGTAAGAACAGAGTAAGAACGAAATTGACTTTATTAGTACATAGCATGGGACACTGTTGAAAACAATGGAGACTTTGGTGGTAATCAAGAGAAGGCTGGTATCAACTTGAGAGCAACATACTAAACCATAGGCCAGCTAAGTGGTCTAACCGAAAGAACCAGAGAAAGAGGCAGCTAAGAACAGCCCTCCAAGAGTCCTACAAGTCTCAAAGACTGGCCTCAGAGACTACCCCTGCCGAGGGGCCCAAATTTAATTGGATCATATTGTGGAGCGATTTATGCTTCAGCATATTATCAAAAATAATAGCACAGAAGAGTAACAGCTAAGTGTGATTCCAGTGGATGCAAGCAGCTTAACAGAGTTCAGTGAAGGAGACAGTTGAGAGAGCCCTGCTAAAAACCACCAACATCCCAGACTGAATGCAGATGGCCAAGGCTGCGCCCTCTAAGCGGCAACATCCGCGGCTGCTCACCGTGCGGGAAATAGACTTCACTGAAATAGTACGGCCAAGTTACAAACAAGCAACCAACGAGACCTAGAAGGAATGGGCTCAATATCCAGAGTTGCTGCAATACATTATCTAAATTGCCCAATTTGCAACAAAAAATTGAGACATGCACAGAAACAGCAAATGTGACCCATACGCAAGAAAAAAGCAAGCGACAGAAATCGCCTTTGCAAAGTCCTAGATGTCATGCTTAGTCAGCATAGAGTTCAAAGCAATTATTATAAATGTATTTAAAGAATTAAAGGAAACCAGCTTATAGCTGTAAAGGAGAGTATATGATAGTATCAAATGGAAAATACAAGTAAATGGAAAATTTTTTTAAATAGCAAATGGGAATTCTGGAGTTGAAAAGTAAATTAAAAATTCACTAGAGGTGTTCAGCAGTATATTTGAGGTGACAGAGTAAAGGATCAGTGAACAGAGTTTATACATTTTGAAGAACTGAAGAAAAATAAAACTGAACAGAGTTTCAGTAAAATGTGGGCCATGTTGAAGCACACCACATCATAGAAATGAAATGCCGGAAGGAAAAGAAAGAAAGGAATAGAAAAAACACCTCAAGTAATGGCTGAAAACTTCCCCACCTTTAAAATTTCATTAAAAACAAGCAAACAAACATGAATCTACACATCCCAAAGCTCAGTGAACTTTAAGTAACATAGACACAAAAGTAGCCACACTCAATCACATCTTAGTAAAAAAACATTTTAAAGCCAAAGATCCAGGGAATTTTGAAAGTAATGCATACCTTGTTTTATTGTGCTTTACTTTGCTGCAAGTCTATTGATACCATTTTTCCAACAGCATTTGCTCACTTCTCATGTCTCTGTGTCACATTTTGGTAATTTTCACAATATTTCAAACTTTTCCTTATTATATTTGTTATGATGATCTGTGATTCGTGATTATGACTTACTGAAAGCTCAGATAATAGCACTTTTTAGTATCAAGGTATTTTTTATTTAAGGGATGTACATTGTTGTTTAAAGATATACTGCTATTGCACACTTAATAGACTACAGTATGGTATAAACATAACATTTGGGGGCACCTGGGTGGCTCAGTCAATTGATCATCTGACTCTTAATTTTGGCTCAGGTCATGATCCCAGGGTCATGGGATCAAGCCCCATGTCAGGCTCAAGGCTGAGCGTGGATCTCCCTCTACCCTTCTCCCCTGCTTTTTTTCTCTCTCTCTCTTTCTCTCTCTCTCTCTCTTCCTTTCCCCCTCCCTCCCTCTTTAAAAAAAATAAATAACTTTTATGTGCATTAGGAAACAACAAAAGAGTTGTTTGACTTGCTTTATTGTGATTTTCACTATATTGCAATGCTCTGGATCCAAATCCACAGTATCTCTGAGGTGTGCCTGTATCTTGAAAGACAGAGGTTGTCAAAGTTATTTGAAAAAACAAGACCCAACCATATGCTGCCTACAGGCAACACACTTTCTTTTTTATCTTTTGAATTATTTATTTATTATTGTTATATCTCCATTGTTAGCAGATCCGATGATAAAATTGACACATGGTTTATGTGTCAATAAATATTTCATTCTTTATACAAAATGCAAACATTACATTTTTTCACACTTTAGATTCAAAGATACAAATAGGTTGACAGTAAAAAGATAAATAAAGACTTATCAAGGGCTGGGAGCTTGGAGGTTCTCTTTCTGCTTGTTCCAGAGATAGCACAGCCTTGGACATACATATGGTCTTCCAGATTGCCAGAGGTGAATGTGATTTTATTTTTAAGCCTGGCTTCCCAGTATTTACCCTGGGTCACAGTAGTTTAGTGTTCACTCCATTTTTGGTTAGAGGTTGTGTTTAAGTCCCTTTTGCCAGTGATTTGTCCTGTGTTGATGGGTCTGTATGGGATTATAGAATGTTTTCAGGTCTTTCCCATGTCCTGTTAGAATTGCTTCTGAGTGGGTGCAGCCTAGTGCACACACCCAGCCTTCTCAACAGTGTTTCCTGTGATCCCAGGAGGGCTGTCCTCTGCTTTCTCTTTCCTTGGTTCTCTCTATTAAATTTCTGTTTTGTTTGCTATGATTTTTTTTTTTTAATATCATGGAGCTACCAGTATTCTCTTAACTACTCTCTACCAAGGTCTTCGTTATTTTCAACAACACCTTAGGCATGAAGTTCTTCACTCACTGTTCCAAATAAAGTCAGTCCTTTCAGGCAGAGCCTTTCATCCTCGTGAACTGTCTTTCTCCCCAAGCAAAACACTTGCGCTACTGCTCCAGAGCTGGGGATGAGACCACTTTTCCCCAAGTGCCATCTCATTCTGGGGACACTTGAGGCAGGAGATAGCAGTCCCTGGTCTTCTCAGTTGCCCTCCCCATATGGAATCTTCACCCTCCAAGTGAGCTCCAGCTCCCAGGAGGCAGTTGATGTCCCAATATTCTTGGCCTCCCGCAGCTGGGTATAACATCCACCCTACAGGTGGGGACTAGGTGGAGGAAGGGAGCCAAGATTTTCTCTGCCTGCCTACTTGGAATGGAGCTTCTACAAAATAGGGTTGGAGGGAGTGAGAAACACAGGCAGCCTGCCTCCCCCAGCGTGAAACTGTAACCCCAGACTGGGAGTTGTGGAAAGGGGGAGTCTCCATGTTGGCCATGCCTTCCCGGAGTAGAGCACCTGGCATACAGCTTCCATAACACGTGGCTGGTTGGGAGAGTTAAGGGAGAAGGTTGTAGTTCACATGCCACAGACTGTTGCTATTCTTGCCAAGATTTGGTAGATTTTCTTAAATAAATGTTTCTCCATATGCTGAAAACCCTTAGGACAATTTCCAGAGACTGTAAATGATTATATTTTATAATTTTTGCTATTTATTTTTTTTTTAACGTTTATTTATTTTTGGGACAGAGAGAGACAGAGCATGAACGGGGGAGGGGCAGAGAGAGAGGGAGACACAGAATCGGAAACAGGCTCCAGGCTCTGAGCCATCAGCCCAGAGCCCGACGCGGGGCTCGAACTCACGGACCGCGAGATCGTGACCTGGCTGAAGTCGGACGCTTAACCGACTGTGCCACCCAGGCGCCCCTAATTTTTGCTATTTAAATTGTGGTTTTGCTCCAGAGAATATCTGCTAAGTTCCTCACTGCACCACTCTAGAAATCCATGTTTCATTTTTTATTTTGATATATATTAAGATGTAGTTTGGTTTGACCTCTCTTTCAGGTGGAATTAATGTTTAGAATTCCTTCATTTTACAGTTGATTTTGTTTCAAAAAATTGAGATAAGTAACAAAGTTTCAGGATTTTGCCATTTAAAAAATTAGGGTAGCCTTAGTATTCTTAATAAATGAAAATCCTAACTAGATATAATCATCATTACATTTTTCTCCTACATCTTGAATTCTAATAATATGATGATGAATCTAGGGAAATGCAGCTTGATTCATAATTAAATAACTATTAATTTAACTTACTGCGACATCTCTGTTTCTTATATATCCTGTCTCCATCCAAGTGTTTATTATGGATATGAATAAATAATAAGTAAGTAAATTATGTACCACATTATTTACTAAATAAATGACTGAAACTAAAAATAATGATTTTTAAACTCTGCAAGGATTGTAATAGTGCTCAGCTGAGTGAATGAGGTATGAACACATTCATCTCAGCAGAAGAACAGTGGTTAAGACTGCAGGGTCTGAAGAATCTTGCCCAAGTACTTTCCTGGCTGTATGACTTTGACTGAGTTACTTATCTCTCTGTGCCTCAGTTCTTCCCCTGGTAAAGGAACATAACTGTATGCCCTACATTATGCTATAGGACATGAGGATTAATAAATTAGTGCATATAGCTGCTTAGAACAGTTCCTGGCATATGGTAGGTATTCAGTAGTTGTTACTACTGTTTGTTTCATGTACATTAACCACTCATGCTTCTCTGTGAATTCGGGGTCATTACTCTATTTCAAAGATGAAACAAAATATGTATAACTTTTATTTGTTTATTTAAAAATTAAAACACATATTCTTTAATGTTGCAAATACTTGGAATACCTTGCAGAACTCCTCTGGTTCTGATCCTAAACTTACTGATACAAGTGAATGATAAAATGTAAGCTCCATCCTTGTACTCTCAGTGTGTTTCTTTTTAGCAATTTCTGAGCCTGGCTTTTATCAGTCTTACCAAAACGACAAATCTTATCAACCATTCAAGATTAGCTATCCAAAGAGGTTGCCTGTGAGAGAACTGAATTTTATTCTGTCAGAATTGTCTCAGCACAATAAAATCAAACAAACAAATAAACAAAAAAACCCACCTCTCTAGAATGAAAAAGCTCCATGAGGACAGGAGCCTTGCTCACTTTTGCCGCATAATATCCATCTCCCAAAACAGTGCCTAAGATATATCACATTTTAAGTGTAGATATATGCAGAGATATGAATGGATTTTGAGTTACTATGCTGTCCTCTGGCAGTGCTACCCATCAAGTGCCTGGGTAGATGTGCCTGGGCCTTGGCCGGAGCTGGACAGGTTTGAGATGTGGGTATTAAGAAGAGTGGCTGTGATGCGGAAGGGCATGTTTAGAGAAAGAGAAGGACTAAGATGTAATAAACCTCCCACGAAGTTTAATAAGCATGAGAAGAGGGGCACCTGGGTGACTCAGTCAGTTAAGCATCTGACTGCAGCTCAGGTCATGATCTCATGGTTCGTGGGTTCAAGCCCCATGTCGGTCTCTGTGCTGACAGCTCAGAGCCTGGTTCAGATTCTGTGTCTCCTTGTCTCTCTGCCCCTCCACCAATTGTGCTCTCTCTCACTCTCTCTCTTTCTCTCTCTGAAAAATAAAAATTTAAGAAAAAAAAATGAAGAGAAGGGCCAAAAGAGAGGAGGAAAAATAAAAAAACACCAAGATAATACCTTTTGTAAATCAGGGAAGAGGTATTTTATAAATCACTGAAGGACTAATCAATAATGGCAGATGTTATAGAGGTTAAACTGATGAAGTTGAGAAAGTAGCACTGAATTTCATGATTAGGAGGCTTAGAGTAATCTCAGTTGAGTGATGGATGCAGAAGCAGATTAAAGTGGGAAAAGGAACAAGACTGTGGGGAGACAGTGGAAGCAGATACAGATTGGATTTCCTAGACATTTGATCTTGATATTAACAGACTGCAGAAGTCAGAGAAATAACTGAGTTTGGATAGAATGTGTACTTGTATTCTTAGCCTTAGGGAGATACAATCATATTTAAAGACCCAGAGGAAGAAACCACACCTCCCTCCTCCCCAAAAATGCAAGAAGTGATTGTATAGGAAAAAAAGGTGTAAATGACATTTTGAATTCTAAAGATTGGTAGTATATAGAACTAGAGCTTAGGTGAGGCCAAAGAAGGGCCCTCTCATTCAGGAGACTAAAGAAGAGAGGCGTCTGGGGAAAAGCGAGATGGATATTCTAGAACCTGTCACTGAGCAGCCTAAACCAGAGTGAAGATTCAGGTAACTTTCTGCTTTAACAAGGACAGTGAACTTGAAATTGGGTGGAAGCCCTGTCTGTCTTGCAGGAAAATATTGTTTTCAGGCTTATAAGGAACATTCCAAAAAATAGTTGACTCAAGGACCATCAAAATGGGCTGAGGACAAGACCCTTCTTAACTCCCACAATAGTAAACATGTTATTAGAAGGGTGTTAATAAGTTAATGTTGCATCTTACAATTAAAAATTCTTACAACAGAAAAAAAAAAGGTATGGTGAAGTGGATGACAGGATACCACAACCAAAAAAAAAAATGTTTTTCAAATTGCAGTATCATAAATTACTATAAATATTTTAAGTTAATATCAAATATTTAATATAAAACATAATATGTAATATATAATTGCTATAATATATTTAAATATTGTTTCTAATATATAAGAAAATCAGTGGTGGGGGCACTTGGGTGACTCAATCAGTTAAACGTCCAATCTTGATCACAGCTCAGGTCTTGATCTCAGGGTTGTGAGTTCAAGCCCCACATTGAGCTCCACGCTAGGCGTGAAGCCTACTTGGAAAGAGAAAGAGAAAGAGAGAGAGAGAGAGAGAGAGAGAGAGAGAGAAAGAAAGAAAGAAAAGAAAAAGAAAGAAAGAAAGAAAGAAAGGGCAAGCAAAGAAAAGAAAGGGAGAGGGAGAGGAAGGAAGAGAAAGAGGGGAGGGAGGAAGGAAGAAAGGAGGGCGGGAGGAAGGAAAGGAAGGAAGGAAGGAAACGAGTGGTGGATATTGATATTTTATTTCATTTTAAAACTTAACATAGATACCATCTTGAGTTTAATTACAAGATATTCTTTTATGTTTCCTTTTTCTTTAAGCTGCTAATAGTAAATGGATCCACGAACATCCAGAAAGTGCATATAACCTTGTAAATTCTCCACACTTAAAACCTGCCTGGGTCTTAGACAGAGCACTGTGGCATTTATCCTGTGACGTTGCAGAAGGGAAATACAAAGAAAAAGGAGTACCTGCTTTGATTGAAAATGATCATCAAATGAATGTCAGTATGTATAGAGGAGTACCACACTAAAACAGAATAACAGAATTTCTTTTTTTTAAATATGATTTGTCAAATTGGCTTACATACAACACCCAGTGCTCATCCCAACAAGGGCCCTCCTCAGTGCCCATCACCCATTTTCCCTCTTCCCCACCACTCCCCGCCCCCCCCTTCCACCCTCAGTTTGTTCTCTGTATTTAAGAGTCTCATGTGGTTTGCCTCCCTTCCTCTCTCAGAATAACAGAATTTCTAAAGTACAAATTAAATATATGGTTGAAAATTACTTAGAGTCTATCTTTATTATGGTAAATATGTTTTGTGAAAAGATTTTGAATATATTTTTTTCAACTATTGAAATTTTTCAGTGCATTCGAAAGATAATTTGGGAGGATATTTTTCCAAGGATTCAACTCTGGGAATTTTTCCAAGTGGACGTTCACAAAGCAGTTGAGCAATTTAGAGGACTTCTTACACAAGGTAAGTGATATACATAGAATGTTCCTAGCAATTTAAAAAAATTATTACTCTTAAAGGGATAGCTCTTCTTTTCTAAGGTTAAGACATTATTAAATCTGTTATCATTATATGATATTTGTGTTACTATAAACTGATTGTGGAAGCTGAGAGTTAGCAGAGACATCTAAAGAGTATGTCATAATAATACATAACATAATAATTTCTCTTGGGGACTGTTTCTTACTATTGGTTCCTTAGCACAGTGCTCAGAATATAATAGAGCTCAGTATATGTTTGTTAAATACGTGAATGGAAGGGGAGTAGAGCAGATTATTTCAGCTGCCAAAAGCTCAAAACAGGCTTTGAAACAGAGAAATGTAGTGTTCTGTTGGCTAAAGTAGAAATCTTAACTGAGGTAGAAGGGCTTCCAGCTGATGGGGCCCACCATTAAGGCTACCTACCCACTAGTAAGACTGACCCAGATAATAGTAAGGAGCAGATCTTCAGTTCAGGACATAACTAAACTAAAGAAGTGAATCACTGTGTCCCTGACAAAGGAGGAGAGTAAAAGTCAGGCTCAAAGTGTTTTGAGGAGGCAAATTAGAGAGAAATATCATAAAGATGTATCTACAATTAGTATAGGACAGCCTAACAGCAAGGATATTGCTGGCTCTTAAAATAAGAAATTCTCTTCCTCATCTTGAATCTAGAGCTAGAATAATACCCAGAAATACTACTTTCAAAGGAGAAGTCAGGGGGCACCTGGGAGGCTCAGTTGAGCGACTGACTCTTGATTTTAGCTCAGGTCATGATCCCAGGGTCATGGAATCGAGCCCTGTGTCAGACTCTGTGCTGAGAGTGGAGCCTGCGTGGGATTCTCTCTCTGTACCTCTGCCTCTCTTTCCAGCTCACACTCTCTTTCTCTCTCAAATAAAATAGAATAGAGTAGAATAGAATAGAATAAAATAAAATAAAATAAAATAAAATAAAATAAAATAAAATAAATAAAATAAAATAAAATAAAATAAAATAAAATAAAATAAAATAAAATAAAAACAAAATCCATTTCCTCTTAACACCAAAAAAGGAAAAGTCTGTATTACTTGAGGTCTAGAAACTTAAGGTCAGATTCACACTTCAGCTTTCCCAATTGTGTAACATCTTGATACATGAAATTTTTATATTAACTTTTCTTCATGTTTCATTTTACTAAAAGGCCTCTATCTTCTCTTCCCTCTGATATTTATAAGCTGTATTATTTAAATGCAATAGTGTGTACTCATAGTAAAGAAAAAACAAACAGTACAAAAATACAATTAAAAAAATGTGTGACTTCTTCTCCCTCAGAACTCAATTCTTAGAGGGAACTATGTACCAATTAATAGTTTTTGTGTTTCTTTTCAGACTCTTTTTTGAAAGGAATTAAAATTTTATATACATTTTTTATAATTGTGTATGTATAAATTAAATATATGTTTTATATCTCTTATACACACACAGAAGACTACAGCTTACAGACTGTTTAAACAGTGAACTTCTTTAGCCTTTTCAATAAATTGTTTCCAGTTTTTTCATCATTCTTTCATTCATTTAATACTTATCTTTTGAACCACCTACTACATACTAGGTACTCTTCCCGGCATGAGGATTCAGTGGTGAACACAGCAAGCCCTTACTTTAGTAGAACTTATATCCTAATAAGCAGTATTGTAGAAAATATATCCTTGTATGTGTTTTTACTTATGTGAATAAATCTGCAGAATAAATTGTTAGACACAGAATTTCTGGGTCAAAGAAATCACTACTACATCATCACTATTACATCATCACTAAATATACCCTCACCAACAAGATACCATTAATCTTTATAATCTTTGTCAATTGGACAAAACATTCCTTATTTTAATTTGCAGCTTTTTGCTCATTAGTGAAGTATCTTTTCACGTGTTACTTTACCATTTTTCCATTAATTGTATATGAATGTTCTTTCCCTATTTTTCTGTTAGGTTGGGGTTATTTGACATTTTCACATTGACTTATTATTATTGGTGATTCCTTATTATACTGGCCTCACATATGCCCTCCTAGTATGCTGTTGATCCTTTAACTCTTGATTTATGGAGGTATTTTTTTCAGTATAGTCAAATTTGTCAGTCTTGTCTTTTATGGCTTCTGATTTCACATCATGCTGAGAAAAATCCTTCCACCAACATTGTTTTCTTCTAATAATCTTATTTATATTTTACATTTAAATGTTCAATACACCTGTAATTTATTTTTGTATATTATATAAGGTATTTATTTTTATTCAGAAAATGATATTGAATTTATAATCCATCCTTTTTTACTGATTTGTAGTATCACCATAAATCCTTCATAGTATAGTCATATGCGAAATATATATGGGTTTGTTATCTATACTATTACAGTGATCTTTTATTCACTCTATCAGTATTGAAGACTGTTTTATCATTTACACTGATTGTGTAGCTTTTTCTTTTTTTTCAAACACTTCTTGGCAGTTTTCATATGGTTACTCTTTTTTAATTTAATTTAATTTAATTTAATTTAATTTTAATTTGTATATAGTGCAACAATGATTTTGGGAGTAGATTCCTTAATGCCCCTTACCCATTTAGCCCATCCCCTCCCCAAACCCCTCCAATAACCCTGTTTGTTCTCCATATTTAAGAGTCTCTTATGTTTTGTCCCCTTCCCTGTTTTTATATTATTTTTGCTTCCCTTCCCTTGTGTTCATCTGTTCTGTGTCTTAAAGTCCTCATATGAGTGAAGTCATATGGTATTTGTCTTTCTCTGACTAATTTTGCTTAGCATAATATCCTTTAGTTCCATCCACGTAGTTGCAAATGGCAAGATTCCATTCTTTTTGATTGCCAAGTAATACTCCATTGTATATGTATACCACATCTTCTTTATCCATTCATCTATCGATGGACATTTGGGTTCTTTCCATACTTTGGCTGTTGTTGATGGTGCTGCTATAAACATTGGGGTGCATGTGCCCCTTCAAAACAGCATACCTGTATCCCTTGGATAAATACCTAGTAGTGCAATTGCTGGGTCATAGGGTAGTTCTATTTTTAGTTTTTTGAGGAACCTCCATACTGTTTTCCAGAGTGGCTGCACCAGTTTGCATTTCCACCAGCAGCGCAAAAGAGATCCTCTTTCTCCACATCCTTGCCAACATCTGTTGTTGTCTGAGTTGTTAATATTAGCCATTCTGCCAGGTGCGAGGTGGTTTCTCATGGTGGTTTTGATTTGTATTTCCCTGATGATGAGTGATGTTGAGCATTTTTTCATGTGTCGGTTGGCCATCTGAATGTCTTCTTTGGAGAAGTGTCTATTCATGTCTTTTGCCCATTTCTTCACTGGATTATTTGTTTTTTGGGTGTTGAGTTTGATAAGTTCTTTATAGATTTTGGACATTAACACTTTATCTGATATGTCATTTGCAAATATCTTCTCCCATTCCATCAGTTGCCTTTTAGTTTTGCTGATTATTTCCTTCCCTGTGCAGAAACTTTTTATTTTGAGGAGATCCTGGTAGTTAATTTTTGCTTTTGTTTCCCTTGCCTCTGGAGACATGTTGAGTAAGAAATTGCAGTGGCCAAGGTCAGAGAGGTTTTTGCCTGCTTTCTCCTCGAGGATTTTGATGGCTTCCTGTCTTACATTTAGGTCTTTCATTCATTTTGAGTTTATTTTTGTGTATAGTATAAGAAAGTGGTCCAGGTTCATTTACCTGCATGTTGCTGTCCAGTTTTCCCAGCACCACTTGCTGAAGAGACTGTCTTTATTCCATCGGATGGATATTCTTCCCTGCTTTGTCAAAGATTAGTTGGCCATATGTTTGTGGGTCCATTTCTGGGTTCTTTATTCTGTTCCATTGATCTGAGTGTCTGTTTTTGTGCCAGTAACATACTTGATGATACAGCTTTGTAATACAGCTTTAAGTCCAGAATTATAATGCCTCCTGTGTTGGTTTCCTTTTTCAAGATTGCTTTGGCTATTTGGGGTCTTTTCTGATTCCATACACATTTTACGATTGTTTGTTCTAGCTTTGTGAAAAATGCTGGTATTATTTTGATAGGTATTGCTCATATGGTTACTCTTGCAGATGAACCTCAGACACTAGATTTTAAGAGTTTATATATATTTTATCTTATTTTGTGCTTTTATAAGCCACTTCAAGATCTCTTTAGAATAAACCAGATATTAATTAGTAATTATAAAATCAAGTCCAGTGGGGGCAATCCTGCACAACACCTAATTTACTAAGAACAAGTTCCAGAAAAGGCATGAAAATTCCTCCCACAGAGCATTTATTTACTTTTTACTTTTTTATTTTTATGTAAGGAATATGCTTGTTGGTGAAAAGGAAAAAAGTACAGAAACAACCCTGTGTGCTTCTTTCAGAGAATGTAAAGAAACACGTTTGAATAGAAAGCAGTCTTTGAAGAAAAAGACCTCCTGATATTAGTGTATTTGCTAACACCTAAAAAGAAAACTTGTGCCACCAGCATCCTTAATGCCCTAAAAAATGTATAGTAGAATAAGTGAATGCCGACTGAAGCAGAAAAGTGGGGAAGTGTTTGAACTGATAGGAATCCCTGTGTTTTTCTCCTATAATGTTCTTGTCTCTCCCTCCCTCCCTTGCCCCCCCCCCCCCCC